ATTTGAAAAAAAAAATGCTTTTACTTGTTATATTTTGTTCAATGTTTGAGGAGCTGCAGCGTACGTACAGCAGGCATCTAGTAGATAAAAAAAGGAGGAGGTTATTAAAAACAAAGTTTATCCGTTTTTACCGAGGCGAATTAAGGTAAGTTGTAAACACCACATCTGCGCTTGTGTGTACGTTACATCTGCCGGCGCCGGCATTTTTCAAATTACCAACGGTTGTTCACGGCGACGCAAAGAATTGTGGGTTATCTGTAGCAGCGAAGGATACACCTCATGCATCCTCCGAATTCATGTGACAGAAGGTCGCATTCAGAGTGTCCTACTTGCTTTTCTGAAATGAGACAGCCTCGATGACGTATGCAGCCTTCGAATGCGACCTCCGGAGGACGCAGCCTTCTAAATGAGACACAGCTATTGAAAAAACACCAACAACACGTTGGACGGCGACAGCCATGACGTCACTACTGGTGCGACTATAGTATAAATAGGCGCAGGGAGCACACATCATCCTCTTCTTCGTCTTCATTGACTGTTTTGTTTGAAGCGTGTATTGCTGTGGTAAGAGCGATCTCTATTCATATCATTATGGCGAGCACTAGCAAAGCGTTTAAGAGGACGTGTGCATCCGTGTTGTCGTTGTTTAACATCTGATGACACACACGATCTATGCGTTATTTGTTTGGGCGAAGAGCACGCACGCAATGTCTCCGAGGGGGTAATCAGCGTGCATTGCAAGCATTTTTCCAATGAAAAAGCTCCGCTCTCGTTTGTCTCTCTTTTCGAGGAAAGACGGGCAGCCATCTGCTTCCCGCGATTCAGGACCCGCCGCTGCTGAGGCACGGAGGAGAATGAGCTCGTGGGGATCGCAGGTGTATCTGGCAGATGAGTTTGAAGAGGGGTTTTCCCTCTTGTGATCATCGGCTGTGGACGAGAGTGAGCCGTTGGAGGATGATGTTATTTCATTAACATTATCTGATCCAGGAGCCAGTGCTCTGCTGGGTTCGGCCCAGCAAAAGCAGGAAATGTCTGAGGAGGGCAAAGAAGCTGAGGCTGAACCTTCCCAATCTTCCTGCCCTGCGTATGATGAGCTTTTGAAAGTTATGAATCACGCCACGGCGAGGCTTTACTTCTGTGAAGCGGGCGAAAAAAGTGACGTCGCGAGGTCATCTTGATGAACGTTATTTTTTCTGGCCATAACCCTCCAGCTCAGGTGAGCATTCGTTTCTTCCTGTTTTCCATACAGAGATTGAGAAGGAATGGAAGAGGCCGTTTTTTCCTCCCGCATCCATCGATTCCAGCATACGAGTTATGCCAACATCGAGGCGATGTGCGAAAGCAGTTATGAGAAGATGCCCCTATAGAGAGACGTTGGCCAGCTATCTCTCTATGGGTCCTCTTTTAAGACTCCCTCCTTGTCCTTCACCGCCCGCGGGTAGGGGTAGGAATAATCGCGGGTCAAAGGAAGGTAGGTAAAGACCTAAGGGATGTGATCCAGACAGGGCGTCAGCACTTTTGTCCGGATCAAGAGTGATACCTCAGTATCCACTCATTTCCTTCGGGGGTCTTACATCTGCCCTTATCTTCCCCTTCCTAATTTCCCTGTAACCACCATCTCCACCTGACTGAGGTTAGGGGGGAATTTCCTGCATTACAGTCTCCTATACTGGACCTATGATGTTTGGTTGTTTCTATGGCTTCATAGTGACCACCTTACTGATGGTCCAGACCAGAAGCTTCTTCGGACGGGGCTCCGACGCGGGAACCATGGTGTGCGAGTACGATCCATTTCTAAATATGTATGTGTGTGTATTTAATGCGCTGGTGGTTGTGTGTATAACCTTTCTGCTAGCTTTCTTTGCAGTGTTTCCCGGGACCTGTGTGTTTCTGTCCTTGTTCTAAGGTAGGTCCTCGGTGAGCACCCCCTCTGCTGGATTCAGAAACCGGGTGCTCGGCTTGCAGTGTTTATCTCACTCGTCGATATATGTCCAGACGATACAATAAGCCGGGTTTCGGCTTCATACTTCCTGGATCATGCGGCCAGATCACAGGCTTCTGCGGGAGCCTTCTTGATCATCAGGCCCCCGGTATGGCACTGCAAAAATTTCCTGGACGTCTGGGCTGGGCTTATGCTTTCAGGCTGCCCTGTCTGGTTTACTGTATCTAGGTCGCCCAGAGGGGCCTCCTGATCACCAGGATATCCCCTCTAGCTGAGGCATCGAGTGGGAAGTATAGGTGGCATTTGCGAGAACCTTCTTGTGTAATGCTGTCCTAAAATCCACATAAGCGGTAAGCGTGCACGTTATGCTTTGCCCACTTTTTTGGAATCCTGTATGGTAAGGGTTACGCGTTATTAACCTCGTTCCCTTTCTCTGAGTTGGTTTAGACCCCGGTAGCTTGGGCTCCACTCATCTAGTGTGTCTCTTTCGACACACTCTGGAAGCAACGCTCCCCTCACCATTGAGGGTTATTGTGAACATGGTGCTTTCTTTCGAGCTTTTAATTCTCTCTGAGGAGTTGGATTCCTCGCTCCATGGGCTGTTCTCGTGGTAGTGTTGAGCAGTGCTCCCCTTTTATCAAAGGGTTACCTGTAATGAGCACACTATTCCTCTGAATTCTGAGTTTTCCTCTCATGAGAAGTTGAGTTCTCTCTTTTACAGAGCACCTGGAACCAGCAGCATCAGGTGATTTAGGCCCTTCCTCTGCCTCTCTGATGCACTGAGTGTTTGGCTAGCTTGCAGTATGCTTAAGCAGTGCATTAATATAGAACGATAATTAAAGGCTCTAATTCACACTAGCATAGGTGTTTGTATTGACGTATCATGACGTGTGACGGCATAGTAGTGGCGTCCCAATTCTTAGGGGAATATTTTCACCCCTACCCCTTGACACTCTGTTTCAAGGGACAAGGGCAAGGGGTTGGGGAAGGGGTATAAAATATAATTGGGATTGGGCCTTAGTGCTTACCATGGTTTCTGGCATGCACTCCCCTCAGCATGGCGGCGTGGGTATACCGTTCCCCATAGCGACCCCTAGAGGACCGTCTCAGGTTACTTATGTAACCATGGTTCCCTGAGTAGGGAACGAGACACTGCGTCCTCTAGGTTTCTTGCCATGCTGCGGACGCAAGCTTCAGATGAAGAAGTGGATGATGTGTTCTCCCGGCGCCTATTTATACTATAGTCGCACCGGTAGTGACGTCATGGCTGTCGCCAGCCAACGTGTTGTTGGTGTTTTTTTTCAATGTATGCTTCAGACACAGGTCACGACGAGGCGTTCCCCATAGCGATCCCTAGAGGGCGCAGTGTCTCGTTCCCTACTCAGGGAACCATGGTTACATAAGTAACCCAATACCTTTTCCTGGAACATTCAATGACGTCACTAAACGGTGATGCCACAATTCTATAGAGAGCATCGTTCACAAGTTTCTGCATTAACCTAACTAGAGCACAGCTTCAAACCCTGGGTCAAAAATGGGTTGCCAGGATGATTTTAGGATAATGTGTATCTAAAATACATTAAAAATAAAAAAAATTGAGAATTTAATCGTAGTATAGGTATAAATATGCAAAACATATCTGACTTAAAAAAAGTAACAGTTTTAATTAAATGAGCATCCTTGCTTATTTTACAAAATCACAAATGTTCTGTTGTTATTTTGAGTGTGCAAAAATAAAAGTAAACACTTTGTGCTTTCGAATGATGTCTTACTCTTATCTGTATGACCAAAAATGATGTGTTTTATGTTTCAGCTGTTCGATCTCCCTGGCGCCTCGCGTGCTCACACACACACACACCACATATTCTCAAACATCGCAGTCTGTTCATTATCAAAATAAAATAGTCAACCAAAAAAAAAAGGTTACACTGGTCAATTTAAATAGTCTATGGTATAGGCAAACTGGTCCACTTTGTATGCCAAGCACATTTTTGCTCATATGAAGATGACATTTCTGTCGATTATAACCAACGCGCGTGAAGTACAAAGCCTCTACATTATAAATAATAGTTTCATTAAATTACATCACGAATATGGAAATTTAGGATTTGTGCCGAATGAGAGGTAGGCTACGTGAGCCTAGTTAACGTCTGGTACTTTCAGTTTCGCTTTGTTCTGGTTTATATATTTTTATTTCATTCTTGTTCTGTTCTTAATACCGTTACATTTATATGATGAGTGGGACCTTTGTAGTTTAGTTCAAGCAGTTTTGAAAGATTGATTGTTTAAATAAATAAATAAAAAATCTCATTCATGTCTTAAATTTTATTTTAAAGTGTCATTATTCCAATATTAGCTACATTAAAATAAAGCCCCTACTAGTATCCACTGTCACTAGAACCTCACACTAATTAACGTTTTTTTTATCTGCTGTTTCAGGTACTCATACTTTGATGGGGCTTGCAACTTACATTACAGGAGAAAGAGCATTTAGTGCTACAATTATGTTGGATGACATCACTGTAGGATATTATAATTCCGAAACAAAGATCTATGTTGCAAGAGGAAATGATACAAATGAAGATGATGTCATAGATCCAAATTACCTCAGGTCTGTAAGTGAGAATCTGCTTGTTCATTTTATAGAAAGATCACATCACCTGAGACCTGACAACACAGAAATTGAAAGTAAGTTCAGTTGGCTAAAGTGATCAGCTCAGATATTGCATGAATACTTTATATCAGTGCATGACTGTGTTTGATGTTTATGAATGAAAGATATGGGAAAACATTAAGATATATGAAAATGACTGTATAAGTAAAAAAGGGTTTGGTTTTGTAACAAATACACTGTTAGTTTATAATAGATGTAATAAAATAATTCCGCTGTGATTCACACTAAAAATTAACAATTTATTTTACACATGGAGGAAAAACATGTTTCGTCTCTCAGGCCTTCTTCATTGTGATCTCCACCCACTATTTAAACAATTAATTATATTCTGACATCATTATCTATCAACAAGATTGACTAACATACTAACCACATCAACTCATGTGTCTCATAATTAAAAGAAAAAAAAGTACCCCATTAGTTGTATGGGTTATTCCGCTGTGCCGACCCTTGATGGGAGCTAACTGAAAGAGAAACGGAGAAAGGTTATTGCAAGACTTCATAGGGCTCCTGAGGCCAAGTGTGTCTTTATTTCCTAACAGGTCATGAAGTTCATCAGGTGATGGGTCTTTGTGAAAAGAGTGACAATAAACTTGGACAAATAATAAGCAAAACTGCTTATAGAGGCTCAACGTTTAATGAGCTGTGTTTTTTTGATGGAAACTTCACATATCAGGTATTTTCAAATTACACGCAACCAGAAATAAAACACAATCTTGAAATATCCAAGCTGCGTCATGAGAAGTTGTATTACCCAGCCTGCATAAAAACACTGAATAATTACCTTAAAAAGAGAGAAACTCAACTAAACAGAAAAGGTATAATGCAATCTACAATCAATAGCCATCATTTATTAATTTATAGGTAATATTCCCTTATTACTAATTTTTCTCTGCCCGTCTTTCCTTCTGCAGTGAAACCGCGAGTCAAACTCATCCAGAAAGCAAACTCAGATTCTGGAGGGTTTCGTGTGAGTTGTTTGGCAACAGGATTTTACCCTCGTCACATCAACCTGACCCTGTTCAGAGACGAGCAGCTTGTATCTGATCATGAGATCACTGGAGGAGATCTGCTGCCCAATGCTGACGGGACGTACCAGATGAGGAAGAGTCTGGAGATCAGTGCTGCAGACAAACACAAATACACCTGCTCTGTCACACACCTCAGTCTGGACAACAAACTGGACCTCACTTTGGGTAATGAGCTCTTACAGAAAACACAATCTAACAAACAAACACAATTCAAGTCAGTCTCTCAGTCTGTGGTTGATGTTTTAGAGTTTGATCGCAGGGAACCATTTAAATCTGTGATTAATTCAGTTCTGACAGTTTTGGCTGTTTGGTGACAGATGTTGGTGTTTGGAGCTGCAACTGCAGTAATGAGGTGTGAAAACTATGACAGAACTGTGTTTGTAAACGTTTTGTGAACTTTTTATTTTTTCAGAATCTGATCCAAGTGAACTTAAATCAGTGATTCTCTCAGTGCTGATAGTTTTGGCTCTGGTGTTGGTTTTTGGGATTGGAGCCATCATATATAAATGCAGGAAGAGACAAGGAGGTAGGACAAAAACGGAAATCAATGATAATTAGTTTTGTTTATAAAATTGAATGAATAGATTTTTATGAATAACATCCTTTTTGATTTTGTAGGTTCATTCAGAAGTGGTTATTCTGCTGCTTCTAGTAAGTACATACTTTTAAACTTTTTTTCTTTTTTGCTAAGTATATGAATGGAATGAATTTTGTTATCTTTTTGCATATTCAGATCATTGATTAAACTTTTTTTCAGCATCTAAAGAACAAGTTGAAACAGCAACATAATCAAATTAAATATAATGACTTGAAGCTACATGGATCAACATCTTCAAACAATTAAAAAAAAAAAAAAAAAGAGTTCTCCGACAGTTGATTATCTTTATGATGAAAGATACTATCAGATGCCAAGAGTAAAGTGTGAGGATTCAAATGCCTAAGAGTCCAAAATTGTTAGTTTTTATGTTGTGGTCTGCACAAATAATTTTTTATTTAACACAATCTGTCAATTTTGAAAGCTCCTTTCCGCACTTTAAATATAAGCATATATAAATTTGCTGTCTTAAATATGAAATGGTTTGTACACAGACCATAACAGTGTTATTTCACTTGTTCATAGGGCGTAGCCATCATTTCAGAAGTGAGGTCGACAGACGAGACAAATGTAATAATACTTTAAAAAAAAAATCTAATTGACAAACAAATAAATAATAATGAATGACTATAAAAAAATTTAAATAACAAACATGTCTTTTTTTTTTAATTGCCTAAAAAAAAATCTAAACATTTTAGACAATAACCAATAATTTGTATTCTATAATATGTGGCTATATTTTCCTAATGACAACTTCTGCGTAAATTATATAAAGAATGAATTCTAGTAAATGTACATAGCCTATATCCCTCCATCGGCCCAGACGAATGGCCCCGCGAGGCCTACTTGAGTCAAACATTCTAATTAATTTAGCGCGCTCTGTCTCAGTGCAGCAGTTCAAAAGCGCTCGCCAATGTCAAAATTTTGAAATAGCCAATCAAATCGAAGAAGGCGGGATTTACTGTTCACAGATGCTGATGCGCTCCACTTGAATGTGAGTTGAGGTAAGATAAGCAGCTAAACATGACGAGACAATTCAGCAATATTTGTCAACTGTTTACGATTTTTTTTTAAATGTTAAACGACAGGCATTACTTTTCAGGATTGCAAACTACTGGCCTTTTCGAATTTCTTAATGCAATTTACGTTATTCGTCACAATATAAAATAAGAGTGAATGTTTGTAAATCTCTATCCAGGCTTTCTTCTGTAATTTCACGTGTCTACGAAAATGTACAAAAAAAAAAACAAAACCCGTAAAATATTATTAATATCAAATCTGAAGACTTTCGCTTTCTAGTGCCTGATAAGGAAAGTGATATATATATATAGGCCTATTAAAGCCTAATAAAAATATAGGCTAATTTGCACTGGCGGTCAAATGTTTGAAATAATTAAGACTTTTTATTTATTTATGTATTGAAAGAAGGCTGAATTTATTTAATAAAAAAACGGTAAAAATTACAATATTAGGAAATATTACACTTAAAATAGTGGTTTTCTATTAAAGATATTTTAAGATGTAGGCTAATTTATTTCTGTGATTAAAGCTGAATTTTCAGCATCATTACTCCAGTCTTCAGTGTCACATGTTCCTTCAGAAATGATTCTAATATGCTGTTTTGCTGCTTAATTATTATCATTTATTATTTGTGATCAATTATTAATAATGGTTCTTATTATTATCAATATTGAAAACTGTTTTTGCTTAATATTTTTGTGGAAACTGTGATACTTTAACTTTTTCAGGATTATCTGATGAATACAAAGTTAAAGAACAGCATTTATAAAATAACTTTACTGTCACTTTTTTTAAAATCAATTTAATGCAACCTTGTTGAATAAGTTATATTAATTTATATATATTTTTAATCTTACCCTAGACTGAATAGTAATGTATCACATTTTCCACAAAAATATGAAGCAGCACAACTGTTTTCACAACATTGATAATAATCAGAAATGTTTCTTAAGCAGCAAATCAGCATATTAGAATGATTTCTGAAGGATCAATAGAAAGTCATATATATATGTAAGCATTTTTATTTCTGTATTGTTACATTTTTTATGTTAGTGAGTGGTGTTAAAAATTGCTCTGTGCATAATGAGCTAGTGGATTTATGTTGTGGACCATGTGTGGTGGGCCGCTCTGTGCCAGAAAGTCCAGGGCCACTTTTTAGCCCTTGTATTCATGGAATTTATTGAATTCATTGACAATAGTTGTATTTTCATGTACCGCACATGAGGAAGACTTGTCTCATTTGCTTTATAATTGTCTTTTAGGTTTTGGTCCGATGTTAGTTCCTTTTTATTTGTTCATAGAAATGTTAATTACATGCTCTCTTTAAAATGTTATTTGCACTTATTCATACAAAAGCTAAATTATTGGGTGTGTCGTTAAATTTTTATGGTAAATATTACATTCATAAACTAAAATTTGCGAAATGCATATCAATGTAATTTATTTTTATTAGAAATTGAATCTTTGAAAAAGTCTAATGCAAACTAATAAAAAAAGAATGACATACTGCTAGGACATACTCCCCCGCTGTAGTCCTTGATTCTGTTAGGAAGAAGAAAGATAATTTGAACTATATTGTTTATTTGTGTATATATGTATGTTTTTTTTTTTTTTTTCTTTTTTTCTTCTTTTCATTTTCTTCTCCTAAATGCTGTCTTATAGATCAAAATTGCTCCTCTTTCTTGTGTATGTGGACTTAATTGTTCAAATTTATTGTAATGTTCAGTCATTTCTTCAATTAAAAAAAAGACAAATTTTGGACTTTCTGCATGAGAGTGCCCTCCGGCTTCGAGTATGAATGAAACATACACTGCATGAGAGTGTTCATCGTTTTGGAAATGAATAAAACGAATCCAAAAAGATGTGACTATCTCGTCTCTGAATTTAAATGTCATTTTATTCACAGTGGCCATTGAAAACCTCTACGTGACAATTGATTCACAATTAAAAGAAAAAAGTTTGGGGGAGGAATTTATGTCTCCCACACCTTCTATGTCCATGTGGAAGTATATTTCACATAATTTTTAATACACTTAATTGTTCAATGATTTACTGATGAACTGTGAGCCATTTAACTCTTATAGATGTTCTGCTATTGTATAGCAAATTATCAGTTGTATAATAATATAGAACAGGAATCAAAAGAAGAGCTGAAGCTGAAGGTTTTTTTTTTTTGGGTAATCTTTCAAGACATTTTAACATTGAAATTAGAATTTTGGCTACTTTAGAGCATTAAAGATGAGTGTTTCACTAGAGTATTGTTTCAACTGATATGTGTACAATTGGAACAAAAGCAATTATTGTCATTATAAACTGGAAAATATTATGCTTTCAGTATTTTGCATACTAAATGGATGCCCTGCGACACCCATTACAAATCATCGGTCAAGACCTAAAAGTTGTGGTAGGTGTAGGTAGAAGTTGGCCACTATTAGTTTTGGTGAAGGTTTTAGACAAATGCGAAAGGAAAAGAAAAAAACTTTGTTTGTGGTGCAAAGTCTGAATCATCCATTTCCATATTAAAAGCTGTAAAGCTCAGTCAAAACGCTCACTAACTACACCCAAGGCCGGAACAAGTTTATTTCAAAGTTGATCATTTGCAAGCGAGTGCTGACTGAAAGCATACAGTAGCCTATATGTTAGTAATATGGACAGTCTCTTTCAGGTTTTTTTTCTACTTTTTCTTCCAACAGCTGCTCCAGAAGGTAAGATTTCAAAACAATTCTATAAAATCAATTAATATAAACTTCAATTTGTTAGGTCTTAGACTCTGCTTTTAGATATATCTTCTCAACCAAATTCACTCCTTCTGTTGTTGCTCAATAAATAGGAAAGCACATACAAACCAAAATGTAAATGAAAACAAAATAAAATGGTTAGTGTGGACTTTTATGTTATGAGTTTTTAACTGTAGTTTCAGTGTTGACTGTTTAATGTATGTGCTATTTGTTTCAGTTTTTTCCTTTTGACTTTTGTCAACCAAAACTTCATTAAAATACATGATAATTAAAAATACATGTTATGAAACATCAGGAAACTTCTACATGGTCATTTTCACATTGTTGACTTAGACAAAGTCAAAAAAGTCAACTTGACTATATATTTAGCTTCAAAATTTCCTGGTTGCACAAAAACTGCTGGCTAACTTCACGAGTTAGCATGTTCCTAAAATCTTAAGATAATGATTAAACTGATTTGACTCGCTGCCCACAATGGAGAGTTTTGAGCATGAGACACAACTCTGTTCTGAAGGAACGGTCACTGAAGAGAGTTTTTATGAGCCTTTATATATTCTTGCGAGATTAGATAAACATGCTCATTTCTAACTTTATATTGAATGAAAAACTTTAATTTCAAACACTGTTAAAAATTTTAAGTTTTGTTATTGTTGTTACAATTACAATTTCCTGTTATTGTATCACAGGCTCTCACTCTTTATGGTTGCTTGCAACTTACATTAAAGGACAAACGCCATTTCCTGAATTTAGCTATGTTGCGATGCTGGATGATGTCAGAGTTTTGTATTATAATGGTGAAACGAAAACTCTCCATCCAAGAGGAAATACAACAGCTGAAGACGATGTGTTTGATTCAAATGTTCTCCTCATAATAAGTGACAACATACAGTCCTCTTTTATTGAAAAGGGGGCAGTCGCAACAAAAAATGTAAACCAAACTGATGGTAAGCGTTATACAAGACTGTAGACTTAAAAAAGGCCCCACTTTATATTAGGTGGCCTTAAATGTACTTACATCAAAAAATGTACAAAGTACAATAAACTTATTGTGTTTATATTGTATTGCAAAACACTGCTATTGAGGTGGGATACAGGTGGTTAGGGACAGGTTTGGTGGTAGGTTTAAGGGTGGGTTAAAGGGTTAGTTCACCCAAAAATGAAAATTAGCCCATAAATTACTCACCCTCAAGTCATCCAAGGTGTATATGACTTTCTTCTTTCAGACGAATCCAGTCAGAGTTATATTAAAAATTGTCTTTGATCTTTCAAGATGTTTCTTTGCACTCAGCGGGTGTTGCATGCATCAGTCCAAAACAAGTTAAATAAAAAGCGCCCATCCATTAAAAAAAGTGTCTCTCACGGCTCGGGGGGGGTTGAACAAAGGCCTCCTGTAGCGAATTGATGCATTTTTTAAAGAAAAATAACCATATTTAAAACGTAATCATTTAATCTAGCTTGCGCTCACTGTTGTAAATGGAAGCAGCTCCGGGCAGATTACGTATGAGGTCAGCGTTGCGCATGTGCCGCGCAGAAGCTCAGGGGAGAGATCAAAATAAAACAACGGTCAAGAATTAGAAGTACAAAACGAGGATTTGTAAAGAAGAGTGTTCATCGTTTTGGAAATGAATAAAACGAATCCAAAAAGATGTGACTATCTCGTCTCTGAATTTAAATGTCATTTTATTCACAGTGGCCATTGAAAACCTCTACGTGACAATTGATTCACAATTAAAAGAAAAAAGTTTGGGGGAGGAATTTATGTCTCCCACACCTTCTATGTCCATGTGGAAGTATATTTCACATAATTTTTAATACACTTAATTGTTCAATGATTTACTGATGAACTGTGAGCCATTTAACTCTTATAGATGTTCTGCTATTGTATAGCAAATTATCAGTTGTATAATAATATAGAACAGGAATCAAAAGAAGAGCTGAAGCTGAAGGTTTTTTTTTTTTGGGTAATCTTTCAAGACATTTTAACATTGAAATTAGAATTTTGGCTACTTTAGAGCATTAAAGATGAGTGTTTCACTAGAGTATTGTTTCAACTGATATGTGTACAATTGGAACAAAAGCAATTATTGTCATTATAAACTGGAAAATATTATGCTTTCAGTATTTTGCATACTAAATGGATGCCCTGCGACACCCATTACAAATCATCGGTCAAGACCTAAAAGTTGTGGTAGGTGTAGGTAGAAGTTGGCCACTATTAGTTTTGGTGAAGGTTTTAGACAAATGCGAAAGGAAAAGAAAAAAACTTTGTTTGTGGTGCAAAGTCTGAATCATCCATTTCCATATTAAAAGCTGTAAAGCTCAGTCAAAACGCTCACTAACTACACCCAAGGCCGGAACAAGTTTATTTCAAAGTTGATCATTTGCAAGCGAGTGCTGACTGAAAGCATACAGTAGCCTATATGTTAGTAATATGGACAGTCTCTTTCAGGTTTTTTTTCTACTTTTTCTTCCAACAGCTGCTCCAGAAGGTAAGATTTCAAAACAATTCTATAAAATCAATTAATATAAACTTCAATTTGTTAGGTCTTAGACTCTGCTTTTAGATATATCTTCTCAACCAAATTCACTCCTTCTGTTGTTGCTCAATAAATAGGAAAGCACATACAAACCAAAATGTAAATGAAAACAAAATAAAATGGTTAGTGTGGACTTTTATGTTATGAGTTTTTAACTGTAGTTTCAGTGTTGACTGTTTAATGTATGTGCTATTTGTTTCAGTTTTTTCCTTTTGACTTTTGTCAACCAAAACTTCATTAAAATACATGATAATTAAAAATACATGTTATGAAACATCAGGAAACTTCTACATGGTCATTTTCACATTGTTGACTTAGACAAAGTCAAAAAAGTCAACTTGACTATATATTTAGCTTCAAAATTTCCTGGTTGCACAAAAACTGCTGGCTAACTTCACGAGTTAGCATGTTCCTAAAATCTTAAGATAATGATTAAACTGATTTGACTCGCTGCCCACAATGGAGAGTTTTGAGCATGAGACACAACTCTGTTCTGAAGGAACGGTCACTGAAGAGAGTTTTTATGAGCCTTTATATATTCTTGCGAGATTAGATAAACATGCTCATTTCTAACTTTATATTGAATGAAAAACTTTAATTTCAAACACTGTTAAAAATTTTAAGTTTTGTTATTGTTGTTACAATTACAATTTCCTGTTATTGTATCACAGGCTCTCACTCTTTATGGTTGCTTGCAACTTACATTAAAGGACAAACGCCATTTCCTGAATTTAGCTATGTTGCGATGCTGGATGATGTCAGAGTTTTGTATTATAATGGTGAAACGAAAACTCTCCATCCAAGAGGAAATACAACAGCTGAAGACGATGTGTTTGATTCAAATGTTCTCCTCATAATAAGTGACAACATACAGTCCTCTTTTATTGAAAAGGGGGCAGTCGCAACAAAAAATGTAAACCAAACTGATGGTAAGCGTTATACAAGACTGTAGACTTAAAAAAGGCCCCACTTTATATTAGGTGGCCTTAAATGTACTTACATCAAAAAATGTACAAAGTACAATAAACTTATTGTGTTTATATTGTATTGCAAAACACTGCTATTGAGGTGGGATACAGGTGGTTAGGGACAGGTTTGGTGGTAGGTTTAAGGGTGGGTTAAAGGGTTAGTTCACCCAAAAATGAAAATTAGCCCATAAATTACTCACCCTCAAGTCATCCAAGGTGTATATGACTTTCTTCTTTCAGACGAATCCAGTCAGAGTTATATTAAAAATTGTCTTTGATCTTTCAAGATGTTTCTTTGCACTCAGCGGGTGTTGCATGCATCAGTCCAAAACAAGTTAAATAAAAAGCGCCCATCCATTAAAAAAAGTGTCTCTCACGGCTCGGGGGGGGTTGAACAAAGGCCTCCTGTAGCGAATTGATGCATTTTTTAAAGAAAAATAACCATATTTAAAACGTAATCATTTAATCTAGCTTGCGCTCACTGTTGTAAATGGAAGCAGCTCCGGGCAGATTACGTATGAGGTCAGCGTTGCGCATGTGCCGCGCAGAAGCTCAGGGGAGAGATCAAAATAAAACAACGGTCAAGAATTAGAAGTACAAAACGAGGATTTGTAAAGAAGAATGTCGGAGGATTTCGATGTAAGCCAAGAGGAGACTGTTTTCCTTTGCTAAAGTAAGGAAAATTTGCATCCTTTGCTCCTGTTAACAAACGTTGGTTTTCACGAGACTCACTGGTGCATGCGCAGCACTGACGTCATCCGACCGGAACTGCTTCTGTGTACAACTGTTGGCGCAAGCTACATTAAAGTGATTATTACGTTTTGAATATGGATATTTTTTTTTACAAAAACGCATAGATTCGCTACAAAGGGAGGCCTTTGTTCACCCCCCTGGAGCAGTGTGAGACACTTTGTTTTATGGATGGGCGCATATTAAAATAATTATTTTGGACCGAAGCATTCAACACCCGCTGAGTGGCATTAAACAGCTTGAAAGATCAAATACAATTTTTAATATAACTCCGACTGGATTCGTCTGAAAGAAGAAAGTCATATACACCTAGGATGACTTGAGGGTGAGTAATTTATGGGCTAATTTTCATTTTTGGGTGAACTAACCCTTTAAGGGATGTGTCAACAATGTAATTATAAATGTAATTACAAAAATTTATTACAGATGTAATTACATGCAGGTATGTTTTAAAATATAAGTACAGTGTAAAAACATGCATGTACACAATAAGTGCATAGTATGTATTAATTTAAATGTAAGTACATAGTAGTTAAGGCCGCCTAATATAAAGTGGGACCACAAATATTATATACTATAAATTATTATTATTAATATTTTGAGATGATGAAATATCAAACAAAGATTTGTGCATGTAGTGGTGTAAACACTATCTTAAAACTTTATTTCTCTATTAAAGGTGTTCTTGCCCTTCAGAGGCTGGTTGTGTGTGAGCTGAGGGATGATGGTGAACCAGGACAAATGATCACACGGGATGCTGTCAGAGAAACCACCACTGATGAGCTGCTATATGTTGATAAGAATTTTACATATCAGGGTTCTTTAAATGTCTCAGCCCAAGTGCTGAATATTCATGTTGAATTTAGCATGAGGCGTCATGAATTTTTATACCAACCGTTTTGCATCAAAACACTCAAGGGTTACCTTGAAAAAAGAAGAAATCAAGTCAATAGAAAAGGTACGATGACTCGCTCTTAGCCAAACTACTCAAGAACAAGTGTTTTCATTTATATTTAGCATTTTTCAGACAGTATTGAAATAATAATATCCTTCTCTTACCTTTTTTTCAACAGTGAAACCCAAAGTCAGGCTCCTCCAGAAACAACTATCTTCTGGGTTTCGTGTGAGTTGTTTGGCAACAGGATTTTACCCTCGTCACATCAACCTGACCCTGTTCAGAGAGGGGCAGCCTGTAGCTGATCATGAGATCACTGGAGGAGATCTGCTGCCCAATGCTGACGGGATGTACCAGATGAGGAAGAGTCTGGAGATCAACAGAGCAGAAAAACACACGTACACCTGCTCTGTCACACACCTCAGTCTGGACAACAAACTGGATGTCACTCTGGGTAATGAGCTCTTATAGAAAACACAATCTAACAGTCAAAACAAAAAAACAATAAAAGTAAATCTCTCAGTCGGTGGTTGATGTTTCAGAGTTTGATCACGGGGAACCATTTAAATCAGTGATTCCTTCAGTTCTGATGGTTTTGGCTCTGATGTTGGTATTTGGAGTGGCAGCTGCTATAGCTGCATGGAAAAGACAACGTGCAGGTATGACAAGAACTTAAATGTCTAAAGATCCTAGAAAAAAAGCAAATTAAAGGAATACCTCTTCAAAAAATAAGGATTAAGGAGAAGTTATATTTCAAAAACAAATCAAAAACAAAGATTATTTTTGTCTTCCTTTTGGTGCTTAGATTCAGTTAAAAGTGGTTATTCTACTGCTTCAAGTAAGTAATTCTAGTTCTTCCAAGCTATTTGTTAATTTACAGCATAAAGAAAAAAATTAGCAGACTTTACACTCATTAAACAATACATTTAATTTTCAGCATCTGAAGAAAGCATGGACACAAAATCTGAACTGATGTGAATGCCAGAACACAAAGTGACACAAATCTGTAAATTTATGTTACCTACACAATTTCCACTATAATTCACTGGTTGAGACCTAAAAGGTAAACAATTATATTTCTGTCATGACAAGTAAACTCATGACAAGAGTTTATCATTGCAGTATACATGGCAATGTTAATGTGTTTGGTCTGGGCATGTACAAAATAGATGTGCTACGCTGCTGCAGCACAGTAAGTACCAAGACTTGCCACTGCCAATACATTCACAGACATGTTGCTGTGAGCAAAAAAAAAATACTGCTGCTGCATATATAATATATATGAAATAACCCCCATATACCATAGATGAAATCACCCCATAGCAGATATATACAGGTGGAGCTGGGGAAGTTGGAGGGTTTCTGAAGCACACTGCAACTGCTACAGCAAGCAGCTGTGTAGTTGAATGTTGAGCAGCAAGCTCATTGGTTGCTTTTGCGAAAGAAACCAATCAGCTGTGCATTGTGAATAATGAAGTGATTATATCAGATTGAGTTAGAACCTAGCAACCTGCACCATCTAGAGTTTCATTCTAGAACTTTGTATGTCTGCAAGTGTCAGCCACTGTCACACAACTGATTGATTGTCACACCGTCACACCTTTCTATTCCTTGACCTAAAAGTGGTGGAGAAGATTTATAGAAATGTAGATACATACGTTGAGACATTTACATTACAATTTTTATTCATTTATTTGATGGTGTTGATATAATGTAGTGTTTACATATTATGCTTTAATGTCATAAATTTTTTATTGTAACATAAAATGTTCATTTTCTTAATAAAGTTGCTTATATTGTATGCTTATGTCTTTCAAAGTCTGTATTATCACATGCACATTTCCCTGTACAATGACATTTTTACTTTGCTTTCCAAATAAGAATAAAGTATAAGAAATAATAAAATAAGAAATAAGAAATACATAAATTACAAATATACAAACACATAATAGTGCAATATAGTACTGTGCAAAAAGTCTGTGCAAGTCACATATGTGTGTCAGTAGCTGCGGAATGAAATATGAATTATAGAACAGAGTGATGTCAGGGGTCAGTGAGTGTTTGACCCATTTAACATTCTGATGGCTGCTGTATGGAAACTGTTCCTCGGTTTGGACGTCCTGCATTTTAAACTTGCCAGAGGGCAGAAGTGTGAACAGTTTGAGTTGGGAATGGGTGGAATCTTTAACAACTGAACGTGCTCTTCGGTGTAATCTGCAATTGAATGTAGATGCTCTTTAGGAAGGGTAGTGATGTTCTGATGCTTATATTGTTAGTGCTGATAATGAAAAAATAAAAGGGAGAAGAAAAGGGACTTGTAAGGAAAAAGTATTGCAATCTTTCTTTCTTTGTTTTATTTTATTCAAAAACTGAAACTATTATTCCCAAGATCTATTACTCCCTTCCAGGTACTGACCAGGCCCAACCCAGCTTAGCTTCAGCGGGCAACCATGTCTGTGCTACAGGGTGATATGATGTTTGTGTTTGATGCATCACCACAACAAGGAAAAAGTTTTCAGCTATCATCCTTCCACTTCATGTAAAGTACAATCAGCCAGTAGCATTACCTTTAAAAAAATCTCCCTGTATTTACTGATTATTATTGAGGATTTTTATTTAAAGCAACTAGTTTGATTGTAATTTTTTTTGTCACTGTTTCTCATGTTATTTAATTGAGCCACAACTCTGGACCAATACGCCTGAATCATGTGACAGTTCCATATGCAATGAATATAATCTCCTATATTAGACTTACACTTAGGGCAGAGTGGTGAACGAGTTGCATTGTATTTATGTCTTAAGTGTGGCATTATATGTATTCTATGCAAAATTCTAAGCTGAATGGCTCTTGCCCTATTACAAACTGAGAGCCTGTTAGTTTGGAGCCAGACTGTCTCCCATTCCTCTTCTGGAATAACCACCCCCAGCTCTCTTTCCCAAGTCAGTCTTAGATATGAAGTGCTAACTGCACCGTAGAAGCATAGAGCTTTATAGAAGAGGGAAATCAACTTGCATGGAGGAGGTTTCAGAAGGATTTCCTCAATAACTGAAACAGAGTATTTAGAGGTAAATGTAGTACTTTTGAATATGTAATCTCTAATTTGCAAAAATCTAAAGAAGTGCTGTCTAGGTAGATTATATCTTGAAACTAAGTTATCGAAAGACACTAGAGATCCTTCCTCAAACAAGTCATCCATCCTACATATACCAAGAACAGGCCATAAATTAAAACCCGAGTCTATAGTACTTGGCAGGAACTCTGGATTGTTCAAAATTGGCAGAAGAGGGGATGTTATGTCGCTCCTACCTTCCAGCCTTCGAATAGCACGCCATGCCTTCTAATTTGCAAAAATCTAAAGAAGTGCTGTCTAGGTAGATTATGTCTTGAAACTAAGTTATCAAAAAAACACTAGAAATCCTTCCTCAAACAAGTCACCCATCCTACAAACCCGATTCCAAAAAAGTTGGGACACTGTACAAATTGTGAATAAATGTCTTCAATAAGCCATTCATTAATAAATCGAAGTTGGGAAGCCAATTGATATAATCTGATATTTGGAAGGTCCAAGCCGCCCTTTGCACTAGAGAGCTGAAATTTAGATAATTTCAATCTGAGTTTCCTTTTGCTCCAGATAAATTGACTTAGCCACCCATTTAACTCTTTTATAGCCTTATTGGACAGTAAAACAGGAATCATTTGCATTGGATACAGTAAACGGGGCAGGACATTCATTTTTATCAGAGCCACCCTCCCCAGCCAAGACAGAGGGAGAGCCATCCACCTGTTCAAATCATCACGGATTTTTCCTAGCACTGGTGTAAAATTGGCTTTGTACAATTGCTTGAAAGTAGGGGTTACATGAATACCCAAATAATCAAAACCATTCTCAGAGCATTTAAAGGGAAAGGAGGGAGACTGATTTGTGGACTTCTTATTACCTAAAAACAGGGCAGCTGATTTAGAAAAATTAATCTTCTACCCGGAGAATTGCCCAAACTCCTGAATAAGGTCTACAATTTTTGGCACAGACACCTCTGGATCTGAAAGAAAGAGCAGCATATCGTCCGCATATAAAGAGATTTTGTGCTGCTTACCTCTCAGAGACACCCCAGACACAGCCGCTTCCTCTCTTATAATCTGAGCAAATGGCTCTATTGCTATTGCAAAAAGCAATGGAGAGAGGGGGCAGCCCTGTCTGGTACCCCGAAATAAAGGAAAATTGTCAGATCTGTGACCATTAGTAATGACCGCAGCAAGAGGGTCCGTATAGAGTATTCGCACCCACTTTATAAAGTATTCTCCAAGGCCAAATTTTCCTAAGGTGTAAAATAAATAAGGCCACTCAACAGAATCAAAAGCTTTCTCTGCATCTAGAGACAAAATAAGAGAATTAAAACTCAAATTATGGGAAAGCTCAATAATATTTAGTAGCCGCCTAACATTGTGAGCGGAACTTCTGCCTTTAATAAACCCTGTCTGGTCT